CCGGTTACAATACCTGTAACCAGCATATGCTTTTCACATTTCATTAAGTTGAAACAAATCACAAAACAGGAAATAAGAAAATCAAAAAAAATGACAGTGGGGTGCAAAGAATATTTTTATTTCACTCCTTATCAGCGAGATCAAGTTGACCACGTAAACTCGTGCTCTGTCACACCACAGAAATGCATAGTTCTCCCTTCTCTTTCTGCCAAGGCCCCTCACACACCCTTTTACGCACGCTCACCCGCGTGCGCGCATGCACGCGCTCACGCACGCATGTCCACACGCTTGCACATCAACCTAGCCGCACAGAAAGTTTTTGATCATCGCCTTGGACCAACTTTCCGTCCACTACCCTATCCGCTCACCCCCAGTCAGCCTCACATAGTGCTCAACCAATTCCACTAAAACCTTCTTCAGCTCATGACAGTCAGTTCGATTAGGAAATCGGAGACGGAAATTGTCAAACTCACAGCATGATGCTACAATACAATTTCACCACTTTTCATTAAACAGGAACAAAAGAGATAGAGAAAAAAGAGAAGTGAGAGAAAAAAATTAAATCGGAACATTGGTTGAAGTCTGTGGATGGAGCGGAATTCTGCAGGGGGGAAAGCTAGGGGAGCAATCCAAATTGACACAAAACGAAAATCTGGGATATGTACATTTTAATCTCGAACCGCGTGAAGACTATTCGTATGAATTGACTATCCGATAGCGAAAAGTTCAGTTGATATGGGACTGCTTTATACAGACATTCGGGAATTCTTTGGTATCCGTCTACAGTTGTTTTCATTGAACCAATGATTTAGCAGTCCCAGGGCTTCAAATGAAGAACCGAAAAACATACAGAACCCAGCACATTAGTTGGCTGAAATAAGTTAATGTTATTGACTGTGCTTCGAAACTAATTTTTAGTGACAATCTTCAGTTAAGACAGTCAAATGTAAACTTTGGAAATAACTGACTGGCTTTTAGCTTTCGGCAGTCCAAACCAGTACTGCATTCACATCGGGGGTTGAACCCCGGATCCCCCAAATGGGTGTGTGCTACCAATATGCCAACCAGCCCTTAGTCATTTAGTTTTACCCAAATGTTATCCCTAAAGCTTCCCGATCGGACATAAATGAAGAGAAAAATGGACAATGGAAAAATATCATCTGCTATTTTTTTGTCATTCGGTGAAACCGAAATAATCTCGTCAGTTTGAAGCCAAATGAACGCAGAAACATATTGAATAACATTACCCGTATTTCTCATTCCGTCCAAATCCTAAGAACGGACAATTTGATCGTAGCTAACCCCAAATGTGTCTCTGGTCGAAGAATTCGGTAACATCAGAAATTCACATCAAGTCCATATTTTTCAATTCCATGAGACGTTAGAGAGAAGTTTCTGAGAGTTCCACACAAAACACAGAACCAGAAGCAAATATAAGAACAAGGTGTTTTATTGTTTTAGATAGCTTGAAGTGAACCCCAACAGTCATTCTATCCTGAGACCCTGGGACTCGAATTATCGAACCATAAAATTTCCCCTCGTCGGGATAGATTTGATACGAAGCTGAGCGACATGTAAACTGACTACAGTTAAATTCGGATAGTGGTCGCGCAACTTGAGTCCCAGATCCATTGAGTTCAACTTGGTTTGGTGAACAAGACAGATAAAGTACCAAAGAATGTTTATTTTCAGTGACAGGGTTGAAAATTTTGTTTAAGTAGTCACACATATTGGAACGTGTTAATTGTCAGAGAACATAGTGGTCATCGATACTTTTTCTAGTCAGTTTGTCCCAATGTCATATCAAGATATCCGGGAGTTATTTCAACTTGGATGATCATTATTTCAAAATGTCTGGCGATTATTTCAAGTTGTTCCAGTATCATTTCAAGATGTCGCGTTGACAAGCCTCCCAGCGATGTCTGGATGACTACCATGCAACTCCGATTTCTCTACCTCCCGTTGAAGTGTGGGGGACGATTTTGGGATGGGCTTCGGTCAAACACGCCTCATTTCCCACGGCATGCAAATCGGTTGTTTAACTTGCTAGTACGCGTACCGCTGTGTGTCTGTGTCCCCCTCCGCTGGTACCAGTGAATCATGCGCGATCAACGCTGGAGCCATCGCATGATGCTGCAATAGAATACATAAGCTACACGTCAAGCGACTGCACTGGGACACCAATAGATCATGCTCGATCGACATACACATCATCATTGACCAGATTCACATCCAGTTTGTTCGACACTTTCAGGTCATAATCCATCTCTGTGACACCCCACCACAGAACGAGCACCTTCAAACACGAAACAAACCAAATGACCATTTTGGCCATATTTTCGGAACGGAATAAGATATTTCTATCAAATATCATTATCAAATCAACTGCAATAGAAATAACGTAACGAGGGCTGTCGAAAGATGTCAAAACTTTCATGAGTTACGGAATTTTATAAGAAAACACAAGTTTAAAAATTGGAATGTTTCCAAAATGCAATTTTCTGAGTATGGGCTCTGAATTCGATAATATTTATCGCTGAAATCATATAGTCATACTTCAACACTTCCACCACACAGAGCAAACCGGTTTAATTAAGGTTAACGTATGACATTCACAGGTAGTAAGTGCAAACTGTCTTCGAACAATCGAATCGTCATTATCGCATTTCTTGATTCAGATTCACAATGGGAACACCATCGTGGTCGTTCTTAGAATAGTGATCACCGAAGCCACCAATGGTCAGCCAACTTGAAATGATTCCCGGAAATCTTGAAATGATATGAGGACATCGTGATATGATAGTGGGACAACTTGACTTGCAAAAGGTATAATTCTAGTAAGAATCTAATGTGAAACAACCTTGAAGACTGCGGACTCGACACAATTCACCACCGGAAACCCTTGCAAGCAGCACTGTTCAATTGTTCGTGTGAGTTGAGGGTTTTAGGTAGTTCCTCAAGCATTAAACCGAATTGTGTGCAAGTTGCCCAGACAAAAAGAAATCTGATAAAGCTACTGGAATGCAGTGTAAAAGAAAGGTAATTAGTGTAACCATGGTCCGAAACGGTGCGAAGTGAAACGCATTCAAATCTTGATTAAACTAAATCAAAAAGTGTTCTTAGTAATTTTATTGGATTTCGTAGACATCCGAGTTTGTATACTACGCAGTTTTCACACATTGGGAGTTCCTTTGTTCTCTCGATGTTCGATAGATTTTATTTAGCAAAGGAGATGTAATGTTGGATAACTAGCACTGTTGGTCTTTACTGTTGCTCACCATCCCACATATTTCTTTGGAGATTTAAGTGAATTCTCAAGGACACATGAAAAGTAATGCACAACTCTGCTGTCTGCGTATTCGCATGAAATCACCAAGATTACCAGTTACTTCAATCAACCATGCGCTCAATACATTGACTATTCATTCTATTGTTTGGTCAATAGAGTTACGGTGCGAATCCCGAGAACGACTTTAGAATGGTACACATTTCTAAGGGATCAGTTCCATGAAGGACGAACCAGTTGTCTAGTACTCTTTAACACTCACCACATATTAGTAAAATAAACCAAATGTTCCTTGAGAAATGACCCCCTTTCCAAAAAAAGGAATGACTGATGCATATAGGGCGTTCGAAGAATGGTGAATTATTTCAATAAGCACTTGCCGATCAATTTGAACTAGATTCAAAAATAGTTCGCGAACTACTTATTGAGTTTTACTTGTACACGTTTCTCCTCACCTCGTAGTTCGTTTCACGGAACGAAATACATAAAATCGTCCAAATGCCATTCATTCACGGTCCTCACAATTCACCCAATGGTGCAAAATTCAGACTATCCCGTTTCTCTGTCACGGATCTGTTTGTTTCATTAAATCACGTACATAAAGCGGGCCTGACGACAACAGTTCTGCATGTGAATTCACTTGAATAAATAAACACTTGGTTGGGTGTTGGATTGATTCGGTTAATGTGAAGATGATCGCTAAGTCACACGGAAACTGATTTTTCACATCTTAGCTACCGCCGTTTGGTTTGGTTACCGATATTGGTCTTTATACGAGAGATATTGACTGGGTCCGGGTTCTTGCGGTTCTCACTCCATCCGACCAGTCACCATGACAACAACAGACTATGAGAGAGCACAGTGATCGGCTAATTGATCTCCCACCTGTGTTGAATTGATACAACAGTAACGAGAGTTATAATGGAGATACCAGGCAAGCATGTCCAAATGCAGTAGTTGACCTGCGTATTTTCTCACCCTGATACATCGCACGTACACGTCAACATTTTTCTGCACCAAAATTGGTCCGCACCCATCCATCCTTTTCGACGTTCATCATGTCGATGGCTTATTCAGCTGTTATCCTGACCTAGGATATTATGATACCTGATAGGTCTTAACTTGTNCAAATCAACAAGTTATCGAGGCAGAGCATGCATGTTCAAATTGGTAAAGACGACAGTCAGTGTCCAAATGGAAAACCCAGTTCAATTTGTATCAACCGTAGAAAATACAATTCTGAGTTTCTTCGATTGTACACAAGGGCACATACACCTGGCACCGGTTGAAAAGATTATGAAGTGAATAGGTGGATTCAGTTAAAATCTTGTTCTATTAATAA